GATTGAAATAATCCGGGTTTCCAACCCGGAAACTCATTGTTTAGTTTATAGATATGTATAAGTATATACTAAAAATATGCATACATACTCCCCTGATAGACAAATAGAATTAATTCCAAGAATATGTTCCCAATCAATTTTCAATTCATAAATATTTATTTTTGTATGTGCTAGTTTACATATAATATGTTTTCAATTTAATTATTCATACAATAGAGGTAAATAATATCATATATATAGATATACATACATATATACTCTTATCCACATCAAAGCAATTTTCTGTCATAAAAAACAACTCAACTTGAGCTCAAAGCGAACTCAACAAGTTTTTGCAACTCAGACGAAATTTGAATTCCCCTACGTGACGTCATAAATTCTTTTGAATGGGTAATTGGAAACCCTATTTGAAAGTCGTGCCAAACAATAAAGAAGTACCAGGTGACAGCAGACACCTGAGACTTGGATCATACCCGCATAAGCGCTGAGCACAATTTTAATAAAAGCCAAGTGCAGCCCTTGCGGTTGACCATGGCTCTATAAACACAACTACTGCGTAGTCAAGACATTTACATGTATACTATACTTTATATAATATGTGCATATACATATATCTCTATATGAAAGAGATTCTCATATTACACTGCATAACAGAGGCAAAGTGCATGCGCTTAAAATGGAAAAGTTTTGTATTTTGTATAGCTGCTGAATTGGTATTATTCCACTTGTTACAGCTGATCGCACGCGTCAATAAATTAGAGGGTGGGGGAGAGAGAAAGAGAGAGAGAGAGAGAGAGCGCGTGTGTGTGAAGAGATGAACAAAGAGACAGTATTTGATCTATAGAGCATTTGCTTTATCATGCAAACCAATTAAGTGCCGTTAAAATTTCGGCTATTGTCGCTCTTTCATTTCAATTAAAAGTTCAGTTCAGTTCAGTTGAGTTACGTATTTTTAGATGAATTCATCTATAAATAGTAAAACTCATTTGTCATAAAACTTGATCACGCGAATATAACGGATACTCATGAGATACGCTTTTATAGTGTTGATTATATTAAGCTATAAACTCTTGTTAGCTTACTAATAAACCAGTAGTACGTATATTTGAAAAATGTGTTCAGACTTTGAGAGGTTGTTCACACATTTTATAATCGATATTATCATATATTCATTATATATATGTATTAAATTGAAATTGATTACACATAAAGGCAAAAATCTATCATGGTTAAAAATAGATTTGACTGTACAGTCAGTTATACAATAAGTTCAGCAACTGTAGAAATCGTTAGGACAAAAAATCGAAAAATATTAGAGTCGACATATATGTATGTATATATTGTATATACTAAAATTCTGTATTCCTTAAAATTTCCATTTATAGAAAACTTCGTTGGACACACTTATACCTCTTAATATGTATTTCTTTCTTTAGTTCCTCGATTTGGTGTGCTTTCCCAAATTGAATAATCACGTTCACTTTTAAGTAAATTGACTTTTGTTTCAGACAGCGACACCATTTTAGCTAAACGAACCCAATTTTGGTCAGACATACGAGAATATTCATACATAATATACAGTAAAAATGCGTTAATATGGTTTATATTGCCGCCAGTTTGATTAAAAAGTCGACAGAAATCTGTATGTTTGAGCGCACTTCGTGGGCTTTTGGCAAGGTGTTGCTAAGGGAGAAGATCTTTTTGGGGTCGCTTTCAATCTGAGGCACGCTTCATTAACTTTTTAGCGTTTTTTTTTTGGTGTGTGAAAGAAAATTGAGTTTTGAGGTTAAAATATGAGTGGTGGATATGGGAGAGTGTGCATTCAATAAAACATTAAGTGGTTAGGGGTGCCTAGGTGAGCAGGCACAGAAGTGGTGCGTGTGTGTGTGTGTGGGGCGGGGGTGGGGAGGTGTGAAGACATATAAAGTTATTTTTATATTAGCTGCCGGCAACAATGGCCAAGACCTGATAAGCATGTTAAATTGCTTGACAGACGTAAATTTCCAGTAAAAAAAAAAACAGAGTGTGCCATTTAGAGAGAGAGAGAGAGAGCAACGAAACTAAGGGAGAGCGAGAGCTAGAGCGACTGTCAGTGAGAGAGAAGCCTGGTTAATTAATTGAAATACGCGCACGCTCTACAAACAATTCAATCAAAAAGTTCCTCCTTCTGCGTTTCTATCTACGTGTTCCTAACGACTTCATACACCCACGTATCACCTAACCGTATATATAAATACATATATATGTATATATAGCAATATATATCTACTATGCTAGGAACTGTGTGCGAATGCATTATATTTTTTATGGCTCTTCTCATATTGGCATACCAAGTGGCTATTTCTCTCTGTTAGCTGGAAATGCTTGTCATAATTAAAGAAAATATAAATAAAAACGATTTGCGAGTCTCATATGCAATTTAAATAATATACTCATTCATTATGACGAACTTATGAGAATTGTTGTTGCTACTGGGAACGTAGAGTCTC